GGTTGGAAGGAATATCATGGAGGTTTTACATGTAGTGTCATCTTTCAGCCACATGCTTGTTCCTGTCAGCTTATCCTACTGCTATGGGCGTTGTCCTAAGCCTTTTAAGCAGTCCATCAGACGTATTTCATGTGGCACGCATTGCATTCCCCTTAAACATGATGAAAACCCGTTGCCATTAGTCAACCTCGGACTTCTCCGCTAACAAGTCGTCAAGCTGTCTTAGCGGTCTTGCAGCAGATGCTACCTAATCATGCAATGATTTGCAAAAGCTAAATAAGCAGGTTGTTGTAAAGACATTCCCTCGTCCTGAAGCCAACGATTTTCCAAGCTAGATTTGAAGACTTCGTTGTTAAACAAACCCTTGGCCAAGGCTTTCATATATCTAACTTTCTCTCAATGGTCTCTTTCACTGCCAAATATTGCCTATAGGTTTGAGTATTGCGTCCGCTGCTTGAGAAAAGAGTAGGGTTCTTGCAATGACAGATATTGAGAGACAGGTTGTCTACTTGGATGATAGTTGTGCTTCCGCGCTCATAGGAAGAGCAGGACGAAGGGTTACATAAAGTCCTCCGGCGTCTGAGCGACCTTAATTTGCCTTGTGAATAAAAAGATGTCCCTTTAATGCTCAAGTGATACAATTCTTGGAACACGTCCTCCCACACATCGGCATTAGCCCAAGTAGTAAAAACATCCAGGTCAAGGCTGGAGCGCCAGTACCCAAGAACTTGATAGAACTTAAATATTAATTGGGCATGTATGCTCAAAGTTTGTGCTATGTGCGAAGATTTGCGCCCTAGCAGATCTACTAAAACCAAAATGATGGTGCCGTTTATTAAATAGGGAAGCAGTTAGCAAAAAGTCATACGTGAAATAAAAATAAGAACGGCTTCTGCCATGTTATTTGTTATCTTCGATGAATCGTGCCATAATATTGCGTCGACTGCTGCGTCTGATGCTCGTCTCTGTGCTGAACTGCACAGCTCATAAACGGAGAGGATAAAAGTTTCGATTTTGACACGAAAGCTTCGTCTGGCCGAGTGAACCACTTGAGGATTGGCATAGCACTTATAACGAAGGGGATGGTAATTGCGACGAATGGGATATACATAAAGGTCAATCACGTTACAGGTCAACGCATCACTCCAAATAGTGCATGAAACGGTCACAAGTGGTCCGCGTTACTAGGTCATACACTAAAACCCTGTTAACGATGGGTGCGGGGATGATGTGATGTTCATTCTCTGCCCTGGATCCGTCCGCCGGCGCTTCGCAGACTGGTGGGGTTAACACAGCTCGCCACGCGATCGAAAGCTCTGCCCCATGCATTCTGTTCACGCAGCTGTTCACTTTGCTAATCTCAACCGCCTCAGCAGTCAGCATGTGGGGTGTCGATCGTAACCCCTTTCTAACGCGTTTCGCGTTATCCGAGCCGATCTCATGCCTTGTATTTATCGCGTACATCGATACTGCCGAGCTCCTTAGTAGAGCCATATATTCAAGCTCGTTTCTCGGTGGCCACGTTATGCGTCTCTTGTGTTCTGCTATTCTTGTGTGTTGCTCTCTCGAGGTTTGGCCGATGTATACGTGTGCGCAGTCTTTGCAACTAATCTTGTAGACGCAGTTGGTTGTCCTATCTGCGGGAAGTGGGTCTTTCAAGAGCACTAGTGTAGAGCGGAGCGTTTGGCTTTTCTGCGAAACAACCCTTATGTTTTCTTCATATAAGACCTTCCGGATGACCTCCGAAGTTCCATCATTATAAGGAATACCTACTGTCCCAATCCACACCGTGGTAAGCCGTGGGTGAGGATTTAAAATTCGCTGCAACTGGCATTTCACTAACCGCCATGGGTATCCACTACCAAGGAATTGGTTCATTGTGTTTTCCGGGCAGGCTTTTTATCTTCTTACTCCGTGCACAGGGTCTGGACTCTGTGATACAGAGATCAGAAGATTCCAGCATACACACACTTTCGGTGACTTGAAGTATATTGGCAAGATGATATTCAAGAAAGTCCAAACGCTCCGCTCTACACTAGTGCTCTTGAAAGACCCACTTCCCGCAGATAGGACAACCAACTGCGTCTACAAGATTAGTTGCAAAGATTGCGCACACGTGTACATCGGCCAAACCTCGAGAGAGCAACACACAAGAATAGCAGAACACAAGAGACGCATAACGTGGCCACCGAGAAACGAGCTTGAATATATGGCTCTACTAAGGAGCTCGGCAGTATCGATGCACGCGATAAATACAAGGCATGCGATCGGCTCGGATAACGCGAAACGCGTTAGAAAGGGGTTACGATCGACACCCCACATGCTGACTGCTGAGGCGGTTGAGATTAGCAAAGTGAACAGCTGCGTGAACAGAATGCATGGGGCAGAGCTTTCGATCGCGTAGCGAGCTGTGTTAACCCCACCAGTCTGCGAAGCGCCGGCGGACGGATTCAGGGCAGAGCATGAACATCACTTCATCCCCGCACCCATCGTTAACAGGGCTTATGTGTATGACTTTGTAACGTGCAACACTTGTGACCGTTCTATGCACTATTTGGAGTGATGCGTTGACCTTTAACGTGATTGACCTTTATGTATATCCCATTCGTCGCAATTACCATCCCCTTCATTATAAGTGCTATGCCAATCCTCAAGTGGTTCACTCGGCCGGACGAAGCTTTTGCGTCAAAAGCGAAACGTTGTCCACAAAGTGCACCAACCGCTATTTTTCAAAGCTTTCTGAAATAATGGGTTCTCAATCGATTCCAAGTATTTTCCAAGATGTTGGAGAGGGCAAAATTTATGGTTTACGCATTGGCGAAGCTGCCCGGATGTGGGATGCCTGCGTTTGGACGCGTCATCTAGTTACAACGAGACGGCGAATTGCCACCATCCCCAAATGGCAAGCATTAGAGAATTTTCGTTTTCTGGTTACGTGTGCCACACTACCCTAGTAACATAGCCACAGCATTTTGCGACACTGTTAATAGGGTCACTTTTGCATGAATCAAGATGTTGTCATTGGATACCGAAGTCCGTAACTTGCCTCCTCAAATTGGTCGTAGCCAGTTCTGTCGCACCAATACAGGCGAATTTGCGATGACGATCAGTGAGCTCATTCACGGACGAAGGGACGTACTTAGCGTGCAGCGACGGTTGAGCAATAGGACATGTTGACACCTGGCCTGACCATTGAAATATACGGGCGCTATTTTAGTGAGCATGGGATGATCGTTGGCCGGGCAACTGAACGGGGCCGATTGCGCATTGTTTAACATAGCCCACTTAAGATGAATGCGGAAGGCCAGATAGGATCAGTACAGTATGGGAACTGTTTCCCGTCATATGAATGAAAACACTGCGCAAGCGATACTTGTGATTC